CTGTGGGATACCTACCCACAGTGTATTGCTCACACTGTGGATGATGGTGCCCCCAGTGTGGACATGATCTGTTGACAGAGACAGCAAATGTGAACACCCACTGGTGATTTTTGTTTTGTTGACTTCTGGACATCAATCTAAGTTTTACTGACAAAACTTGGTGGTGTGGACTTGGCCTCAGTGTCAAGAAGAGTCATTCCTCTGTTCTGACGCTTCATCTTTGGGTAACTTACAGGGACACTCTTAGGTAACTTACAGGGAACCTGCAGCTCGTTAGCCGCATATGGCTCCTCTCCCCCAAAACTATGGCTCACAAAGCCGCTCCTGAGCCCCCCCCAACTGCCCCTTCCCCTCCAGGCTCCTCTGTGCTCACCGGGACAGTGATTCAAAATGGCGCTCAAGATGGTGGGTATTGACAGGAGCCTGATATGGCCAAAAAGCCTAAACTTGTTTCTTAAAGGGGCAGCCTCCCTTTTTTTTTTTTTGCTTGACAATTCAGGGGGGGAAGTAGGGGACATGCACAGGCTTTCCCTTTTTTTTTTTGCTTGACAATTGTGGTGTGGCTAGTCACATTTTTTCTGCTGATGTTTCCGCTCTCTTTGTTAAATGGGTTGGCCACCCCTGCTCTACAGATTCTGGTACATGATTACTGTAGCTTAACAAAAAGCTGGGATAAACAGGTTTCTAATATAGGCTGGGAGAAGACAAGAACCTGTGTTATATCTACACTAGCCAATTAGCCCGTCATAAAACAGGATTTTCAGGTCTCTCCTCCACATCCTATTCCCTTTCTATCTCGGTCTTCTCTCCTGAGCCTCTGGTCTCTCGCTCCGTCTCTCTCTCTCTCCCCCCTATCTCTCTCTCAGCTCTCCTCCGTCTCCTGCCTCTCTCTCCATCTCTTTCTCTTCTCCCCCTCCTGCCTCTCACTCTCTCGTCTCCTCCTCCTCCTGCATGGGAGCATGGAGGCCAAACAGCTGTTTGCGCCGCTTGCTCCCGCGCAGCAGCCTGGCTGAGTGGCTGCGTACGAACTCCAGCTGCCCACCTGCACCGTTTCCCTTCACCCCAGCACTGATCCTACAGCCTCCCCGTTGTCCTCCACCTTCCCCATCCCCCTCATTCCTCTGCCCTCCCCCTGGCCAGGCTCAGCGTCCAGCCCTCACTCAAAGGTGCCGACTGGAGAACTGAGCAGGAGGCAGCCATGGAGCAGGCGGCTAGAGAGAAGCGGCACTTTCCCCTTAAAAGCGCCGCTTCTCTCCAGCTGGCTGTGCAGCTGCTTGTGCTTCTCCAGCCCGCACCTCCCTCCCGGGCCCGCTCCAGGTTGCGAACTCTCCCGGGCTGGTTGGACCAGATGTCAGTACAGTAAGGACATGACGGAGGCTCCGGGCCCCGCCCCCAGGCCGTGTACGTCAGCGCCCTGCCCCCCTTCTCCTCCCACCATGGCGCTCGACTGACTTCTGCGCCGCTCACCCTGTGCTGCATGGGACGCGCGGATCCCAAACGGCTGCTTGCACCGCTTGCTCCCATGCGGTGGCCTGGCTGAGCGGCGCAGAAGTCAGCCGAGCACCACGATGAGAGGCAACAGTACTGCCCAGAGGGAACAGCCAGCGTTTCAGCGTTACAGAGTCACAGACATTGGGCTACTATATATATGATAACTTTGCTGTGTAGACATACCCTATGGCTGCGTCTGGACTGTCAAGTTTGCTTTTGCAGAAAAACTTGCCAGCTGTCTACAGTGGCCACTTGAATTTCCGCAAGAACACTGATGATCTCATGTAAGATTGTCAGTGTTCTTGCGGAAATACTATGCTGCTCCCATTCGGGCAAAAGCCCTCTTGCACAAAAGCTTTTGCACAAGAGGGCCAGTGTAGACAACGCGGTATTGTTTTGCGCAAAAAAGCCCCGATCGCGAAAATGGCGATTGGGGCTTTCTTGCGCAAAACTGTATCTAGATTGGCACGGATGCTTTTCTGCAAAAAGTGCTTTTGCGGAACAGCATCCGTGCCAATCTAGACGCTCTTTTCCGCAAACGCTTTTAATGGAAAACGTTTCCGTTAAAAGCATTTGTGGAAAATCATTCCAGTCTAAACGTAGCCTATATGAGATATAGGCTCATTGCTCAGCTTGACATAATCATTTTAGTGTGTGCTGAAGTAAGACTGCTTTGTCTTGACTAAGGCTTTAGAGCAGGGGTGAGGGACCTAAGGCCCAGCTTGCCTGGATCCAGCGCCCAAGGCTCAGGATGCTTTTCAATATGTCTCTAAATTAGGCTTTTCGGACAGATTTGCAAAGGTCTTTAGGCATCAAAATGCCTAGAAAAATCTGAGACACAAGGTGGGTGAGGTATTATCTTGTCTTGGATTAACTTCTGTTGATGAAAAAGCTAATCAAGTTGTTCCACTTTGTATTTAACTATCATACACTGAACATTTTTCCCAGACCTGAAGAAGAGCTTGTGTAGGCTTGAAAGCTTGTCTCTCTCTGCCAGGGCCTAATTAAGAAAGGGGCTGTAGGGGCTGCTGCCTAGGGCCACGAGCTAAGGGGTGCCCTGCAAACAAGACCTCTGGGCATCCAAAGGTCCAGATCTTTTTGAGAGGCCACCTTAGCCTGGGACTCTGGGCTGAAGGCAGCCTCCTGAGTGTTATCTGGCCCTGCCTGGTGGTGGGGGAGGGGAGGAAGGCATCTCCATGTGCTGCCAATCCTCCTCCCCTGGGCTGGGCTGGGCTGGGCTGGAGAAGCTCCATCCCCAAGCTGCCCTCACCAATGGGAGCTGCAGGGGTGGTGCCTGCAGGTGAGTGTAGGGCAGCGCAGGCCATGCTGAGCCACCTGATTCACCCTTCCCCCAAAGAGTAGCCGCCCCAGGTAAGCGACCCCCAACCCAACCTCCCACCCCATCCCTGAGCCTCTTTCTGTATTCTAATTCCCTTCAAGACCCCACCCCCTGCCCTATCCCAGAGCCCTCTCCTATAACCAAAGTCACTGCTTCATTCTAGACCTCACGCCCCAACCTTGAACCCCAGCCCTGAGCCCGTTCCAGCACTCTAACTCCCACCCAGACCCCGCACTCCCCAACCTCCTGTTCTGAGACCCTCCTGTATTACAAACCCCATGGCCTCAGACTGGAGCCTCCTTCTGTACCCCAAATGCCTCATTCCCACCCCCACCTCAGAACCTGTACACACAGTCAGAGCCCTCATCCCCTCCTGCACCCACCCTCCTGCCTCATTGTATGCCCAGATCTTGAACACTGTTTGCAGATCTGGTCACCCCATCTAAAAAAAGATCTATTGGATTTGGAAAGATACAGAGAGGGCAACAGAAATGGTTAGGGAGTAAGGAACAGCTTCCATAGGAGGAGAGATTAACAAGACTGGGACTTTTCATCTTGGAAAAGAAATGACTAAAGGGTGGGCATATGTTAGAGGTCTAGAAAATCATGAACAGTGTGGAAAAATAGAATAAGGACATGTAATTCATTCCTTCACTAACAACACAAGAAGCTCACCCAATTAAATATATAGGCAGCAGTTGTAAAACAAACAAAATAAAATATTTTTTCACAGTCAACTTGTAGAACTCTTTGCCAGGAGATGGTGGAAAAGCCCAAACTATAACAGGATTCCAATAAGAACAAAATAAGTTTAAGAAGGCTAAGTCCGTCAATGGCTTGCCAAAAACTGGGAATGGGCAACAGGGGATGGATCATTTGATGCTTGTTTATTCCTCCTGATGCACGTGGCATTGGCCGCTGTCAGAAGACAGGGTACTGAGCTTGAAGGAACTTTGGCCTGACCCAGGTTGGCTATTCTGATTTTCTTATATAGAGCTGAAATCTATATGCCCCTTTGCTGTTACCCACTAGACCCCCCCTCCTCTTCCAGAGCTGAGATAGACCCCAAGAGTCTTGACAGGGTCTCTCTCCACAGACTTAGTAACAAAGTAAGAATAGACATTAAAATGTTAAGACTAACTAGTGTCCCTTAAGTGACTTGCCACAAGATGTCAGACTATGTTAGTGTTAGCGCTTGAGTGGCTCTAATATTTATTTAATTTTCTTTCTTTTATATATAAATTAGATACAATGCTCCTGCTAACTGCTAAGTTGCCTGCCAAAAAAAGCAGAGTTTTCCAGTGCCTCAGTAGATAGAATTGATATGGGGCAGGAGGGAGGGAGGAAGGAATTGATTCTTCCCTCCCACTCCCCATTTGGTTCTTGACTTCTACTGAGCATGTTCAGTAACACTGCTGAAGCTGCTGTACTCAGTCTGCCTCCCCATGCTCTCACTCTCCACTCCCCCCCCACCCATCATGGCATGCCCAGGTGGGGCTCCCCTTACCCCCCTACCAGAATCTGAAACGGCGCTCCTGGCTCTAAGCAACAGAAGCTCGTCCAATAAAAGTATTATCTCACCTATCTTGACTCTCTAATATACTAACACCAACACGGCTACAATACCACTTCAAAAATCTCACCCTTTCTTCTTTGACTGTCACCCCATCAGTGCAGATATTTCCTGTTTTCTGTATTTGCACAGAACCCAGCATAATTAGATCCTATTGGAGCCCTTTAGAACTGCCAAACCATAAATAATTCCTAGTAATAATGAAAAGAATTAGTGATAAACAAGATGTACAATATTACTTCTGGAGCCTGATAAAGCTGCTTGAAAAAACAACTTGACCAGAGATAAAAGCATGTACATTAAATGAGAGTTCTTTTAATACTTATGGTTGGGATTTTCAAAGGATTCTCAGGAAATTTGGTACCCCTTCCAATTCAAATTCAAGGAAAATCACACATTTAGTCCAACTGTGAATATTAAGTAGCACTAAAATAATTCATTGATTTAAAAAATAAAAAGCCCGATCTCCTCTTAATGATTTTAAATCTTTGTAACTCCATTGGCCTCAGTGATGTTACTTCTGATTTATATTGGTTTGAGAGGAGAATCAGACCCTTAATGTTTTTGTTTGCCTAACAGATATGAAATGGTTCTTACCTTTTTAGTGGGCATTTTTATTTTCAGAATTTCTGCTTCTCGACTAAGCACATTCCAGGGTGCGTGTATCCGCACAAAGCTCAATCCTTGGGTTTTATTCTGAAACAGAAAAAAGTGAAAATTATATCTTTCAACAGGAAAGTACAGCAACAAGGCCTTCAAATATTCTAAAACCCCCTCATTCATTGCACAAAGTAGAAGCAGCGAATTACAATATAAAATTACCATTACTGTACAGCAGCTACCACATTATTGTCGGAATGTGAGTGCCGGCATAACGCATCGCCCTACCAGAAGCACCTCTTATTTTCTTAACACAATAGCAGGGTATCATTTCTTAACGTATGCCATTGCTAGTCGTAAAAGTGATGTATTTGCAGTAAGTAACTAACATTTATTACTATATGATAGCTCTGTAGTCAGGAGACTATAAAGAAGATTAGGAAGAACCTGGTGGCTCATAAGTTTTAAAAATGGTACAGAACATTATTGTGAGAATTCTTCTCCCACTGAAGTCAATAAGATTCCCATCAACTCTAATGGAATCACATATCAGCCAAGGTGGATCTATTTTGAAAATCCTACCCCTAACCTTTGATAAGCAGGTGGCTGGTTACAGCCTTTCTCCACTTCCCCTTCCTTCTTACAGATGGTGTAGCTGCAAGAGGAAAGCTCTGCTCTTTTCATGAATATGTATAAACTTTTACCCACTCTCCGCCAACTCGTGGGCAAATTGCAACCAGAATCATTTCCACCCATAAATATTATCTCATAACAATGAAGGTTCGACATAAATAAGAGAAGTGGTCAGAAAATTATGGGTTTTTCCCCCTGTGAGACCAGGTGGGTGAGATATTATCTTTTATGAGATCAGCTTCTGCTTTCAAGTTAGAGTTCTTCAGTTCAGCAGAACAGACTGTTTGTTTAGCGTAAGTAGTTGACACATACTCTAAGTGACCCTTAAGGTGAAACATTCCATTAATACTTCTGCAGTTATAAGGGAAAATGGGAGTGGGGGGGGGGGAGTTTAGTGGGTTACAGATTGTTGTAATAAGTCATAAATCCAGTTCTTGATTAAGACCATGATTTTTCGTGTTTAGCAAAGTTACAGATTTAAGCTCCCAGGTTTGTCTTTTGAAGGTGTTGTGGAGGTTTCCTTTGAGGATAAGAACTGAGAGGTCCGATATGGAGTGACTATTTTCACCCACAAATGATATATTGCTTTTATCTGTCAACATTTTTCCATGTGAATTCATTTGAGAGTGTAGTGATTATCTGATCTTACCCATGAAATTTTAGTAGAGGCATTTAGTGCACTGAACGAGTTACACCACATGTTGGCTATGTCTAGACTGCAGAGTTGGATATGTGTAGATTGCCACGTCCAGGGAACGCGTATGCTTTTTTGGAACAGTTTCCAAAAGGGAACACAAAGGGAACAGTTTCCAAAAAAGCGGGCACATTCTTTCGGCATGCCTGTATTTCTCATTTTATGAGGCATAAGGGATCTACCGAAAGAGGAGGTTTTTCCACATTTGGCCCTGGTTCACAATTTGCGTATCTTTTTCTGAAAAAAAAAAAAAAGCAGTGTAGACATGGCCATTATGAAATGCATGTGTAGGGCACTTTGGAGCTTGATGGCATGTGGTTGAGAAGCGCTGCATGGAAAAATTGACTGTCAAGAAACCGAAGGTTTTCAGTCAAAACCCAAATCATTTTAGTGGGATTATCTCCAATGAAAAGTCAGAAAAAATGTGAAAAGCAGAGAGATTTCAGAAAAAAAGTTCACTGAGTCAAAAACTCAATTTTCCCTTGAAAAACAATTTTTTAAAAATTGGCCAGGCTTAATAAATATTTCTTCTCGGTCTGAAAGTCTTTTGGAGCACCTTTATATTTGCCTTTATTTCAAAAATATTCTCTCCCTCTGGCCGGTATGTATTTACTTATTTTAACCTGGTAACTGCACTGTTTGGCATTGTAAGTAATTTTAGGATACAATTCAGACAAAATAAAGTGTCTATAATCAAGTTGAAACATATTGGTTTCAGAAGTTTGCAGAACTACATTTCCACCATTTGAATAGGATATGAATGTAAAGGGGCTCTTGTAGACCACCGCAAATGTCTGTTGAACATTATAGAATATTTCCAAACAAACACAAAGGGAAGCCCCAAAGCCTTTCCATTCTTTATGCCAACATTTTGCTCTCAGGGCCCTCAGCTCTGAAGCAACCATGAAGATTCAAACATTGGTTTCAGTTTGCATTTCTGCAATGGAACAACATTATACTAGAGTGAATCGTAAAACGCCTGGTTTTAGTAACATTTCTCACCAGTCCACAGGGGAAGTCAGCTTTAAGAGTAGGAAGTAAAATTTTGCTGGGCATAAGCAGATGTTCTGGATAATAATTTGTTGAAAAATTAACAACAGATGAGAGTTTAAATGTCAATCAGTAACGATCAGGAGGCCTTCTCTTAGTCTTTTGGCTAAAATAGAGCAAGGCGTTAGTTTAATATCTCCTATGTCCTCTATCTGGGGACTCTATCCTGCATTGGCAAGAAGAAGAGCTTTGTGATCTAATAGGTCTTTTCCAATTCAGGCTCCTATGACTGCATAGATTGGAAAGAAAATCAGTCACAGATAGACCAAGAGGAAAGACCAGATGAAGGATATGACCTTTTTGTATTAGAGCAGACATATGTTGGAAAGTAGTACAATGCATGAAGTGATATCAGATGCTAAGGAATCACAGATAAAAAGGCCCCCACAATAGAAAATTGAGATCATTTTAATAAAGACCTAATACAAATTCAATAAAGAGGAGAAAACAGGAACAGGTGATTCTTTTTGGAGGGTAAACAAAAAATTACAACATAAAAGAGTGCTGCATATTTGGTCTGGGATTACAATGTCCCACATCTTCCTACATTTTCCTAACCTAAGAGGAAGAATCCCAGGGCATGTACAATTAGTGCATTCTCACCAGTGTTCTCGTACAAAAGGAATAGGAATGAAACGGACCATGAAATCAATCTCTTATGAGCATTCTCTCAGTGGACACATCACCTAGCCTTCCACTGAACTGCTAAAATAAAATGCTATCCTAGCTAATCTTCTTCCAGTGAGGCTTACATCTGCACAATTTTTGAAGCTTTTCCATTTAGTCATTCTTCCCTCTGTCCTTTTGCTGCTATTATTATGTTTGAGTTAGAGTCACATTGGTGAAGTTCTGTTTAACTGAATCATTCCTGAGCAGGTTCTTCTCCTGCGGACATTATCACAAATTAGAATGTGTTTTCTGAATTTTCAGTGTAGATTTAGAACTGGCTACTGGAATCCTACACTGCACTGTACTGTGGAGTATGATGTGATTAATCTTCAGAGACGTTCACAGTACATGCATTTCTGAGTACGAGTTTATATTTGCTACTATGAGGTACTCTGTGTTTCCTGCTTTTAAAACTCTCAATCACCATTGTTTATTGAAAATATTTGACTCTCATCTGCACTTTACCATCTCTGCTCTGTGCTGGCTAGGGTTATTTTTGTCTGACAATTCATACACTATTTAATAGAGAAGTTCTTGGGCAAGTCCTTTTATGGTTACAGCTGATGTCCCACAGGATTTGATTTCTTGGCACTGAATAGTCTTCTGTCTATAGCCTTGCACAATCTGATTTTATCTCAAATGTCTTTGAATATCGTTATGTAGTCGACAAACAGATTTGTTGTTATGCTAACCATTATTAGTCAAATGCATATTCCATACCACTAAGTTCTTTGATTAGGTTTCAAGAGTAGAAGTTTCAAAGGATTAGTTCTGAAATATTCAAAATTAATCTATTGAAAAAACTTCCACTTTTGAAACTCAAAGAATGTTGTGATGTGGAATATAAATTTGACAAAAAATATCAGAAAAGCAAAAAAATCTGTGTCAATTGACTCAAATTCTTTTTATTTTCAACTATATTTTTGCAATCTTTTCCATTTCACTAAGGGAAGTCAGCATTAAAGTTAAGTGGAACAAAATTTGAATGTTACTTTTCAATCAGCACATTAACAAAAAAAAAAAAATCAAATATTTCTTTCATTCTATTGACTTTTCTTGATTATTTGAAACAGGACTCTGCAGCCCGTTAGCTGGATTATAATGAATGCTGTAATTTTCTTTTGTTATAATTTATGCAATTATATTTCAGAGGTTTAATTAATATAGTTAACATTTCTCCAGTGTCTTGTCCCATCTGTCAGTATTACATTGTAAAATAAAGTATAGTAAAAGATAACCTTCAATCATGTACACTGGATGCTGATTTAAAATCCATTGCAAAGTTATTATTACAATTGGCTTTAAAAGTTCAATTTTTTAAACTTTTCAACTACAGTTCATTGAAGATGTCTGCTTTTCTTGAAAATATGTTCATTTAACTGAAAATTGAAAGATTTTTGAGTTTGGCATTTTTTATTTTTGACAAAAACTGAAATTTTCCACTGAAATATTTTCATTTTCCATGGAGTGGAAGACATTTTTGTTAGGTCATTGTTCACTGTTTTGCTATATGAAGTGTACCAATTGCTTCATTTCTCTAGCCAGTATGAACTGTGTAATATGTGTCTTTCTTAACCACTTATTTATACTACTCCCCTTTGAATTACATTATTATGTAGGGCCGGCATTTTGGCACCTGAGGCGGGGAGCCCCATTTTCTCTTGCTTGGGCCAAAACTTTGAAAGGTCTGAATTCTGCCTTCTTCCTGTTCTACTCTCTCATGGTATTGCTCTGCTACCTAGATATGCACAAGCAGCAGACACAATTTTCTACACTCTGGGTCCTAGTGGTAAGAAATCAGTGCTTCTTGCAGAAATACTACGCTGCTCCCATTCGGGCAAAAGTCCTTTTGTGCAAAAGGGCCAGTGTAGACAGCTCAGATTTGTTTTGCGCAAAAAAGCCCCGATAGCGAAAATGGTGATCGGGGCTTTTCTACGCAAAAGCGTGTCTAGATTGGCACAGATGCTTTTCCGCAAAAAGTGCTTTTGCAGAAAAGCGTCCGTGCCAATCTAGATGCTCTTTTCTGCAAATGCTTTTAATGGAAAACTTT